CTGGGTGACAGAGTGAGACTCCGACTCAAAAAAAAAAAAAAAAAGTCCTGAAAAGGAAATGTTTTGCCGATGTCGAGGAGGTGATACAAACAAAAAGAAACCCGGCAGAAACACTAAAAGACATCAAAGCCGATGAGTTCAAAAACTGTTTAGAGCAGTGGAAAAAGCACCTCGGTAGGTGTAGTGCATCAAATGGAGAGTACTTTGAAGGTGACTGATTTTTAAGCATGTAAGAATAAATACACATTTTAAAATAAATAAATTCCATTTTTTGGGGAGTCCCCTCTTGTAGAGTGGTGATGAAGACAGATGGGCCCTGCTCTCCATGGTCCATTCTAATGCATGCTTATCTTCTGGGACCACTTCTGAGCTAAATGGTGCAGGGTCATTCACTCAGCCACTCTGAGCTTCAGCTAAGTGCTGTGTTAAGTGAGATAATGCACACTAGGTCGGAATGCATTGGTGACTTCTAGAGAATTCCTTATTCATATCTGTTGAATGGGAAAGCCTTAGAATATTCCATGGGAATCTCCAAGGCCATCTCCCAAGAGCCCTGACGCTAGAAACCACTGCAGGAGAATAGTACACCAGGGGCAGAGACCACTGTCAGCAAAGCCCAGGGATCCCAGAAATCACTGCTTCCCACCCACCCAGTAACCTGAAAGAGACCAGCTGCTGTCAGTTCCCATGTAAGTTAGGTGGGCAGTGGGTATAGGAGAGATGCAGGGAGGTGAATCTGGTTCATCTTTCTTCTTAGGCATAAAATCATTTAATCTGAAGAAGATAACAGTCAAATTTATTGACTGAGACAAAGCAGAGGTTACGACCTCAAAGGAGGCCTGGAATTTACCTGCAGGAATTTCTAATTTTAAGGAATCAATACATATTTGACTTTAGTTAGTTAAAAATAAAAAGCATGCAAATTGACTAGTCTTTCCCCTAACTTTCCACATAATTGAGCAACTGGTGTGTGAATACAAATGTGAAGTTGCAGATACCTTTCACAGCCTAGGAGCCTATTTTCCTGGCTCTGTGTGCAACCAAGCCGCACGGCTGTTTCACAGGTCAGTCTGCACACCATTTAAAGCTGTATAAATCACGCCAGACAAGGTATTGAAAAATACAAAGTTACTAACTAGCAGTACAGCTTATGACGGTACCTTCACTGTCATCACTGTCCTGAGGTCCATCCAGATCTCTGGGTCTCTTCATCACAGGTGGTGCACAGAGAGGTGGGGCCAACAGTTGCTCTAACTTTTTTTCATACAACTTTCTGGTGGAAGCTGAGGAAGAATGTAGACAGCAAATTAAATAGTTCTGGTTTTGTATGGGATCAAACTGGGTTCAAGGTATAACTCAGATGTTTATTCTTGTCCCTTACATTAGTACTTAATTATGGTTTTAAAATAATGTAGACTCTATAGCTACTCAATTCACTCCTTCCCTTCCACAAACACTTAGATGACACTTCCATAGATTAGCCAGGCATTGGATACATCTGAGAACAAGAAAGGGCTATCTATGAGGAACATTGATGATAAATACAAAGTCTGACAATTAAGTTCACAAACTCATTCTAGAAAAAGAGCTCCATACCTTATTGCTGAATATCACTATGGTCACCTTCAAAGTACTCCCCTTGGGAAACTATGCACCTGGTCCACCCATCAAAGCAATTTTGGAACTCTTTTTCTGAAATGGCCATCAGAGCTGTCGTCATGAGAATGTTGGAATTTGAATTAGAGCAATGAACAAACATTAAATTTCTTGTTAATCTTGCCAAGAATGAAAGTGAAATCAGGAACATTTTAGTTCAAGTTTATGGGGATAATGCCATGAAGAAAATGGCAGTGTACAAATGGATTAAACGATTTTCTGAGGGAAGAGAAAGTGTCACTGATGAAGAGAGGTCAGGATGACCAGTAACAAGCATAATTGATGAAAGCATTGCAAAAATTCATCACCTTGTGCATCAAAATAGTCATCTGGCTGTGAGACACATAGTAGATCAAATAAACATCAACAGAGAAACAGGAAACTCTTAAATTAAAATCTTGGCATGAGAAAGGTGTGTGCAAAAATGGTCCTGAAGGAACTCTTGCATCATGACAATGTACCAGCTCACACAGCACTGTCTATGAGGGATTTTTTAGCCAGTAAACAAATAACCTACTCACCTGATCTGTCCCTAATGACGTTTTTCTTTTATTTATTTATTTATTAATTATTTTTTTGAGTTGGAGTCTCACTCTGTAGCCCAGACTGGAGTGCAGTGGCCGCTCCCAGCCACTGCAGCCTCAACCTGCTGGGCTCCGGCGATCCTTCCGCCTCAGCCTTCCAAGTAGCTGGAACTACAGGCGCGCACTACCATGCCCGGCTAATTTTTTATTTATCGTAGACATGAGTTCTCACCAAGTTGCCCAGGTGGGTCTCGAACTTGCGGGCTCAGGTAATCCACTCACCTCAGCCTCCCAAAGCACGGGATTACAGGCTGAGTCACCGAGCCCAGCTGACTTTTTTCTTTATCCAAAGATAAAGGAAACATTGAAAGGAAGATAGTTTGATGACATTCAGTACATCAAGGTTAACACAACAACAGCTCTCTGGCCATTCCAGAAAAAGAATTCCAAAATTGCTTTGATGGGTGGACTAGTTGCTGGCATTGTGCATAACTTCCCAGGGGCAGGACTTTGAGGATAATGGTAGTGATATTCAGCAATGAGGTTAATTGCACTTTTTCTAGGATGAGTTTGTGAACGTAATTATCAGACTTTTTGTTTGTTTGTTTTTTGTTTCTTGAGTTGGAGTCTCACTCTGTTGCCCAGACTGGAGTGCAGTGGGCGCTCCCGGTCACTGCAGCCTCGACCTGCTGGGCTCTGGCGATCCTTCCGCCTCAGCCTTCCAAGTAGCTGGAACTACAGGCGCACGCTACCACACCTGGCTAATTTTTTGATTTATTGTAGAGATGAGGTCTCACCAAGTTGCCCAGGCAGGTCTCGAACCCACGGGCTCAGGCAATTCATTCACCTCGGCCTCCCAAGGCACGAGATTATAGGCTGAGCCACCGAGCCCGGCTAATTATCAGACTTCTTACATCAATAGTTAACATATACTAAAAACAAAACAAACAAACAAACAAAAACATAATAAACAGTAACTGGTTTTTCATTGTTGAAAATAAACCACTTTCCTCTCTCTGCATCAGACCTACTGATCTATAAGCAGAATCTGGGTATATTTATCACCTCTGTCTTCTTTATGGTTTTCTGTTTTCTCTGTTTTCCTATTTCTATTTTAATGGTGTTTACTGATAACATACTGCTTATGTTCTTTCTGTTGTAAGTTGTTCTAAGTCTTTGGAGGTAACCTTTATTGTAAACAATAAATGACTAGTTAATATTTGTGGTATACTGTACACACACAATACTGGGCCAGGAGAAAATCCGAGTGTCTCAAGTTGGTGCCGCAGTTCCCAGTCACTCAGACACTTCACATCCCCCATGGTGAGAGAAGTCTGGCCTCTTTTCTGACAGGAATCCCTGAAATAGTAAAACACTAAGTTCATTAAGACAGCCTTACAGATAAGTCCTACAATTTTACCAGTCAACAAAAGTGTTTACAACCCAATCTCGCCATTTTAGGAGAAGCACAGAGAATACAGGAAAAATCCACACTTTTGTTTTCTGCTGTAATTCCCTGCTGGGATTAGTTGTCTCAATACATAATACTGGATGAGTGTCCTTTTCCCCTGTGTCTTCGGGGTTCAATTATTTATAACTTTTCTATTCAACTAATGTGAGAAAAATCTTCTGGACAAAATGAACAAATATTTCCATTACTGCTCAAGAACTCTGAGTCAAACTCCAGCTCTGGGAAGATAAGAAGTTAATTAAATATGAAAGAGCTGAGAGAGATTTTTTAGTGAGTTAAATAAAAGTTATTTATCCCTGCCCTCCTTTTGATGAGAGTACAGAGAGTACAGAGCATTCAGTTATTGCAAACAGTAGTAGTTTTCACACTTGTAATTTAACTCTGAACATAACGAGATGGTAGTTTTTAATTAACCGCCAGCTGACTTTGTAATTGCTGAATTGGCATTTGAAAAAAGTCAGCAATTCATTCCCTGGTACACAAATTGATTTATATAGATTTACGCAAGTCTTGATATGGCTTTCCAAACCTGCACAGCCTCAAGTTGAATTAGTTTTATTCAGTTGATCCCCTGATCCTCCAAAACTGACCTTTCTACCTACTTAACAAAATCTTGAAAACGACAGACCCATTTGTCAAAGCTTTTAATAGAGATTTTCAATTTCAGAGTTTTAAAAAAAATTATTATACCTCATTTCTATCATGTTTCAAGGCTTTTTAATATTGCAGTGAAAACAGCAGCAAGATAATTACATAGCATAGGAGGATCTAGACCAGTTTTAAGTAATGACTTTGCTTTTATTGGTGATCAATCAATGTCCAATTAGGAAGAACACTGTATACAAGCTAGAAAAAGTCATGAATTGTTACATATAATAGGGTTGTTCCAGAATTCCTAGTTTGACAGTTCTCTTCTTTAAAGCTATGATTCAAGGAGAGTTGCATTCTAGCACGCAGTAGGTACTTAGTAATAGGTACTTAGTAAATGTTAGTTTCCTCCTTTTTGTTATGTTCAGGAAACTGAATTAACACTTTAAAGCCAGAAGGAAACAATGCTATAAAGAAAAGGGACAATCACCTCAGCACCTAAGGGTTTTTTTTGGTTTTTTTTTTTTAATACTGAAAGCTAGTTTAGGCAGATCCTGTGACATTTGTTCCCAAGAACAGCTGTCTGTTGTTTCACTGGCTTCCCAAAAATAACCTCCAAAAGAGCCCTCATCAATTTCAAGTGACACTAGACAATTGCCTAGAGGGAACACACATACGGAAGAAAAATATTCAAATGGAATCCAACTGGATGATTAATCCACTTACCCCTTCACATGGTTATCTAAAGTCTATGCAATCGGGTTGGTTACTAACACTGGGTAAGTTTCACCCTAGGGTTTCCACTAGCAACCAATCCCTTTTTGCCTGTTAGATAGTATGGTGATCATAATACTGACAGTGTGACATCAGTAACCCCCATAGCAACAGATTGATGTGCAAATCAGATGATTAATTAAACCTAAGTTCAAACAGAAGGAGATACTGGTCGACTTCATAGGCAGACTGCCATGATAAAATGTCAAGAGATGCAGAGAAGTTATCATTATGCACAGAAAGCAGGGAGCTGCTATCAAACCAAATGGTGCCAAGAAACTGGGGAGAGAAAGGAGAAATCAAACAAATTCAAATATCTAGTCCACCCATCAAAAGGCCCACGCTAGTACATGGGTAATGTAGGAAAATGAGAAAGTGGAAGTAACCTAAATTAATTTGTTAAGGATTGTTCATTTAAGAAAATATTCAGGATGGTGTGCACATAAATAAAAATACATTGCAGAAGTCTGATGGTTTGGGCCTTTTCAAAGCATTTTCATATCATCTTGTTTCATTCTCTGGACACCCCTATAAGACAGTTGAGACAGATATCATCTACATTGCAAAAGGCTACTTGTTGCTTTATTTTGTTTCAAGAAAGCTATGTCAGACTATTAGTTTGCATCTTTCAAGAAAGACTGCTTAGATTTTAAAAACATTTATGTAAAACAAAATGTAACTGTGAGAAAACATAATGCCTTGATTAAATACCAGGGACACAGGGAGTCATCTGAAAGGGGTGATGAGGACAGCGGAGCCAGCCTGCCTAGAGTCAAACCCCAGCTCCATCATTTACCAGCTGGGTGACGTCACATCGAGTAAGTTACTAACTTCATTGTGTCCCCTCTTCTTCATCTGTAATGGAGATCGCAGTGGTACCTACCTCAAAGGGCTGTTATGCTATTCAGTGAGTTATTAATATAATACACATAAAGTGCTTGGCAATACTAAACATTATGTAAATGTTTTCAAAATTTTTCTATTCATGAGTCCCAGCCTCAGAAAATTTCCAGGTCCAGTCTCTTCCTCAAAAGGTTCCATCTCAATGATACTTGCCCATGAGAGCCCATAATTTCAACCCTTTCCAGATTCTGGGAAAAATCTGAGCATCTTTGGGTGAATGGTTAGAAAGACTCACTGAGTGCTCCCAGGCTGTGGCTCAGAGTTTCTGAATACAGCATCAGTTTCCAAACAAACATGTAATGCAAACATTTGCCAGCACACAAACATCATATTCACCAAACAAAGACTTGGAAAATTGACACTTTGTTTCACTCAAAGCAAATAAATGATAGGCTTGGGTTATTAGGATGCACAAGCATTTTGTTTACATTTCCCAGAATTGCTTTCAACAAAAAAGCAGCCAGCAGGTGGAACTGCTTCCATTTAAACAGGCTATTGGGAAGAAACAGCATTTCTAAAATATTTTCATGTTTAAAACTCTGGGGTTTAAAACAAGCCAGGCTGAGAAAGATTAAATCAAACGATCTCAACCAACATCCATGGGTTGAGGCCCCTGTTATTTGCAAATTATTCTGTCTGAAGTTATTCTCTTAAAGATCTACAAGCATATTCTTGATTCTACTGCCAGCATAATTTCATTTAAGAATTCCCACACTCTGCAGTACGCTGAAATATTTGGTTTCAATGTCTGCAGCACCCCATTTTCCTGAGTTTTATCTGTGTAGTCCTGGGCATTGGCTTGCTTTTTGTTTTTTATTCTCTCCATGGCTGCAAAGACATTTTATTCCATTTCTTGAGGGAAGCAAGTTTTAATTGCCAATCGACTAGGTATTCAACATGATAAGGTATCTAAACCCTGAGAGCTTCCTCCTTTCATTAAAATGTAGATCCAATTTCTCTTCCCTTAATGCCACATGCTGTTATTAAACCGAAATAACGGAAATAGTAAAAGCCAGATGTCACTTCTGTCTCAGGTTTGATGTGGGGCACAATTTCCTCTCCTCAAATTTAATCTGCCAGTTATTTACTAACCCCATTCTTTGGAAGAATGCACAATTTAAATGTAAATGCAATTTACATAGGGGAGCAGATACTAGATTTGCAGTTTCAATTGCCAATAGCCATTTGCAAAGGGGAAAATCAACTAAAGCAAAGATCAGCAGCTGTCAGTCTAAAGTCTGCATCACTCACCATTCTCAGATCACTTTCCTTCTGAAGGCACCTGCCTCTGAGCCTCAGCCAAGCAGGCAAAGCAAGTGCAAAATGGAGGCATTTCCCCAGACATTTCAAGCTAAATTTACTACTGGGGGAACGAGGGGAAGGGGAAGTTTGGGTTTCAATGAGCTAATTTGGTGGGCATCATTGTTGAAATCATTAGCTGACCAATTTCTTTCAACAATTATTCATTAATCATCTCCTATGGGACAGGCATTAGGCTTGAGATACCAGAGAATATAAATATGCAAAAGCTATAGTCCTTCTTTTTTTTTTATAATATATATATTTTTTGAGTTGGAGTCTCACTCTGTCGCCCAGACTGGAGTGCAGTGGCCGCTCTCGGCCACCGCAGCCTCGACCTGCTGGGCTCCAGCGGATCCTTCCGCCTCAGCCTTCCGAGTAGCCGGAATTACAGGCATGCGCTGCCACGCCCGGCTGATTTTTTGATTTATTGTAGAGATGAGGTCTCGCTGCCCAGGCGGGTGTCGAACCCGTGGGCTCAGGCAATCCACTCACCTCAGCCTCCCGAAGACGCGGGATTACAGGCTGAGCCACCGAGCCCGGCTCAGTCTTCTTAAAGAGTAAAGAAAATAAATAATTGCCAACACTAACAATAATAATAATATGTTAACTGAGTGCCCCGGGGGCCCAAAAGCAGAAGTCCCTCAGGGTCCAAAGTTTCATTTAAGGTGGAGACTTCCAGGATGAGCAATCCTTTGTTTTATAAACGAGGGGCTGGGGACAGAAGTTCTAGAGTGTAGATCAGAAGGGAAAGGAGTCAGGCTGGATAGGTTGGGGCCAATTTGTGAAGGATCTGGGGGGATGCTAAGGGGCTTGGCCTTTTGCCTATGGGCACATTTGGAAATTTATTAGTGGGACATGTTGCAATTAAATCTAGTTTGATACTGAGTGGAGGGTGAATTAGTAGGGAAGAGTCTGGAGGCTCCAGGACTCTTTGGGGGTTATTATAACAGTCTAGAAACGAGATGATTCAGTTTGGGGAGGACCAGAGAGGAAGATACATGATTCATAAATGATTTAGGAGGCAGATAATAGCCACAACAGGATGTCTGATTCTGTGTTTCCTCTTCACTTCACTTGCACAGGCACCACCTCAGTACAAATCTTTTGTCTCAGCTATGAATCTGCTTACATAAGGAACCATATGGAGTTTGGTCTACACAGTACTGACACTTAAAACATTATTCTGCACTTGTCTAGTCAACCCTTGATTATTCACACTACTTGAAGCCAGCAGCAACGCAGATAATCCATAACTCTCTTCTATTTGGCTTTGAAATTAATTAC